TACTATTATATATTTTTTGTTAATATTATAATATTTGCAATATAATGAATTTAAATAAAATTAATTTTTTTATTATATGCTAAGTACATTACTTTTTTTACTATTTTTAATTATTTAGAAAATAATAATATAGAACATAAATAAAATTTATTTTGATTATTAAATCTCTTAAAAATAGTTAAAATATATTTTTTAATAGTAATAAAACATAAATTAATTTTCCATTTTTTTATTTTTTTATTAAAATAATTTCATAATTTATAATAAGTATAATTATACAAAATTTTATTAAATCATGCATAAATAAAATAAAAAATACATATATAAGGAAAAAGATAAAAAAAAATCAATTTATTACATTTGTCTGATAATCTATATATATATATTATCACTATTAATATAATATACTATAATAAATAATACTAATACTAGGAAATGGAAACCATTTTAAGTCTGGAGCGAAATTTTTTATTTAAAATAAATAAATTAATTTTTATTTTTGTTATTTATTTTTGTTTTTTTTTTATTTATTGATCTTATCGTACACGCGGCATGACAAACAGAAATTCTCACGTAATTATGTGTGTAACTATTAATTCATAAAAGTATAATATCCTACGCTTCGCTCTGGACAATTAACTATATTAAATTAGTATATAGTAACTTTATCACTGTTTAGGTATGATTATTATACTACTTTTTTAATATTTATTTATAATTTATCTTTATTAAGTTATAAACAAAATAATATTTAGTATTATTATATTTATAAAAATGTTTAATTATTTATTTATAATGATCTAGATAAGTAATAGTTTAGATTTAATTAAAATAATTAAAAAATAAGAGAACTAAATATTACTTATATAATATACTTTAATTAGTTTGATTTTTATTTTATCAATTTTAGTTTTTAATAATAAAAAATCTTTTTTGTATATTAATAATATCATTTTTTTTAAATCTTTTTAAATCACTAATTTTAATTTTATCTTTTGAATAAAATGTGATAGTATAAATAAAACTATTAGTATTTTAGTAATAAGAGCTAATGATATCAACAGCAGTAATTATAAAACTAAAGTTTTACTATATTGATCTATGTAACAAATAGTATTTAAATTTTAAGGCATTTTGTTTTTATTTGTAAAAAAAGTAAAATAATCTTTTTTTTTTATATCTATAAAAAAAAGAGATTATTGCTTAAATAAATAATTCAATTAATTTTTTATTAATTAAATATATATTATATATATATAATAATTAAAGTTTAAAAAAAAAATGAAAATATTTATTACTTACTAGCATTACTAATAAGTCAAAAGGTCTATTTGAAATGCTATATTTACATTTGTCTAAAAAAAAGGAAATAATCCTAATCTACAAAATTAAAAAAGCAATTAATTATTAATTATTAATTAAAAAAATAAATGAAATAAGTAAAAGTCATTTAATTAATTTAAAATACTATATTTACGTTCGTTTGAAAAAGTATATTTAACTCTAATCTATAGAATTAAAAAAAATATTAATCAAATAATTAATAATAAGATAAACAATATAATGTATCTGTTAGCATCTTTATAATAAGCCAAAGTAGCAGATCTACTGATCTAATTTATAAAATCAAAAATAAACAAAATTATTAATTAACTTATTATTAATTAAATCAATAATTAATAATAAGAATAAAAAATATATAATAGTAAATAAGCAATAATAAAAAAACAATTTCATTATGCATCTGATTATACTGTAATAATATCTAAATCTTTTTTTAAAAAAAAAATATTTAAATAACCTTTATTACTTAAGGTAGATTTTTTCTCTATCTCTATTTCTATCTTATTCTTTACCTTTTAGTATTAATATTAGTAAAAGTATTATTAATATTAGTATTAAGGTTAATGTTAATATTAGTATTAGTATAGTAAAATAAGATATATAAAAATGGCTAATTATTGGTATTACATAAATCACTTAAAAAGGTGATTTCTTTAGACCTGTACATAAATAGTCCTTCACTTCGTTCTGGATTAATGACTATAATTTCATTATAATATTAACCATCAATTTCATTTCTTCTTATAATCCTTTTATAATCTTACAATAACAGCGACTTTGTATTTTTATCTGAATTGAAATATGTTTTGATAGTAAAAATTTCATATACACTGATTATTTTTTTTTTAGAAATGTGGATTTCTTTAATTCTTTAATATTTATATTATATTTTATTTACATACTTTTCCTATGTGAAGTTTATTTTACCTAGAAAATGCTAATACAAACAATTCGAGAAAATGAACATTTGTATAAATATTATGCCTTTAAGAAGAGTGCTCTTTTAAATTGCTTTACCTTTCTATGAATGCATTTCTCATTTTAATTAGAAATCATACAATTTTCTATATATCAAGGAAGTAAGTTTATAAATAAGAATAAGAATCAAATTGATTAAATAAAAAAAAATATATATAATAACCTAAACTTTTACTTTCATTTTCATTAATAGTAATCTGAGAGCTTAATTCGTTTTGAAATAAAATTTCATTTGATTCTGCAGAGTAATCAATTTTTCGACTACTTTCATTTTCATTAATTATAATCAGTGAACTTGATTCATTTTGAAGTAAAGTTTCATTTAATTTTGCAGAATATTCTATTTTTCGACTTGTATAGCAAGACAATGGATGATTTTCAATTACCGTTTCATTTTCTATAATATTATTAATGATGATTGGTTAATAAAATTTAATTAAAATACATTATCAATACCTAATTACCTGGTACGGAAATTCTTCTAAGAATGTCTATGAGATAAATATCTTTCCACTTATCAAAGCATTCTAATAATTCGCTTGCGATTGGTCTTTTTTGAGGATCAGAATCCCAACATTTTTGCATCAATTCCGCATATTCAGGCATAGTACCTTCGACAATATTTGGTCTTAATCCTCGGCAAATATCCAAAGAAAGATTAAAATCATGAGGTATATTATTGAAAGCAGGAATACCAGAAGTCATTTCCCACATTATCATACCAAAGGAATATATATCAGCAGCTTTTGTATATGGCTTTCCAAGAAAAACCTCAGGTGCAATATAAGAAAGTATTCCATAAATTTCATTAGAGTTATTAGGTTTATCAACTGGTTTACTTAATCCAAAATCACTAATAAATATACCAAAAGAATTTATAAAAAGTATATTACCGCTATGGAAATCACCATGAACCAAGTTACATTGATGCAAGGATGAAAGTGATATTGCTATTAAATATAAATTACTATATTTATCATTTGGATTATATTTTTTTATCATTAAATTAGATCTCAAACTGCCTTCCATTAATTGTAATACAATTATATAATTTGATGTTTCCGGATCTTGCGTTATTCCGTAAATCATAAGTTGCGGTGGCATTCCATTATCTTTGGCCGAATATGTAAATTCTAAATGATTTTTCCACTTTATAAAAAGATTAAACTCGTAACGAATAAATAAATTGTAATGAATAAATTATAATAAATGTTATAAAATAATTCACCTCATTTAAAAAATCTTCTCCAATATTTGAAGAATTTATCAAACGTTTTAACACAACAAATTGTCCATCTCTTTCATTGTCGTTGAGGGGTGACTTGATATTTTCATTTTTTGCATTTTCATAATCTTCATTATTAAGTGTGGAAGAATTCCTCTTCCATTGTTTAATCTTACTATCCCAAGAAATAATAATTCCGTCTAACCAAATAGCCTTATCGATGGTACTAAATCCACCTTGAGCGATGTATTGTATATTTCTCAAACGATTATAAGGAATCCATTCCATAAATTCATCATAATATCTTGCTTTTAATTGAACATCTTGAATGAATTTATCCATATATTTATTTCCACTAGTCCATTTATTGAAATCGTTTTGAAATCGTTTAGAATTGCAACTTTGACACCAATTATCACCAGAATTTGGTTGAGAGCAATCAGAACATAATCCAAAAGATTGATTGAGAATTTGTTCTTCATATAAACTTAAAGATTTATTAATATTTTCAGACATCGCTAAACTAAATTATTTGGATTTTATTTTTTTTTTAAAAAAAAATAAATAAATAAAAAAGGTATAAGATTTACATTTTGGAAATTCTATAGTGTAACGGTATGGGTTTCTGCGCCTTCGTATTGATATAAATCATGTCCAGACTATTATCGGTAAGTTATAATTTACTATTACGTTTTTATTTATTTATTCAATAAATAAATATATATTTTAGTTGAACGAAGATTTGAATTATCGTAAGAATAACTAAATTAATTGCTTTTATCGTTGTACTATTAAATAAATATTTATCATGCGTTGTCTTTTTATAAATGTAAATCGTCTCTTATATTATGGTGATGCCTTGTTGAAATATGAAAAATATAGGACAATCGTATTATTAGGTTTATTTTTTAATAAGTATTTTGTAAAGTTAAAAATGAAATTTTAATTTAATACAGCTTGTTTATAATATAAAATTATACCCTTAATTCAATCGATTTTAATCGGATGAAGGTTTTAGGAATGGAAAATTTACAAGGGTCGCATTGTCAAAGCTGCAGCAGATCAACTTGGGACTTTGGACTTTGACTTTGGTGAATAAAATGACGGTTTATTTTATTTTATTTTATTTTTGATCGGATATGACAGAAAATTTCTGTTTGGTATGGTGATACCGTTACTAATATGAAAGTAAATGACGCCAAAGTGATCGACTGTACAATTTGAAAGAAAAACAACAATCAAAACCAACAAGGAACGGAGTGAATATCTCCGGTGGCTTAAAGTGTTACGGAATGATCAAATATTTTGATGATGATTTATTCAATACAATTGACCGGACCGCAGTCAAGATTAATTTATAAAAGGAATCGGTTCTTTACAGGCAGGTTTCAATCAATAAAAAAATCGTAAAACACATTTTCTTTTTTAATATGTTTTAATATGTCAGAACCTCAAGATTGTGATTTTCTTTTAAAGGAGAATGAGGTCGAAACTGGAACTCTGATGACAAATTTACAAGACATTGATAGATGGGATGAATTAATAAACGACATTATTTATATTAGTGAAAAAGCGCAATATAAAGACGTATGTAATCGTTTCAAAGAACGCATTTTACCTTTCAACGAATACGTGCAAAAGGTACAAAGGGAGGGACGAATCATAAATCATGACTCATATAATATCATTTTCCAAAGGCTACTTATTAATATCGAGAATATAAAATATTTTACCCAAGACGTATCACAACTATATCGAATAAAGAGGATTATCCTCGCCGAACCCATTAAAAGTAAATATGATAAATTGATTTCAGAATTTGATAATCTGGTAAAGGATTTTGATATTACCGTGAATGAAGCATACGAACAAAAAAGAAAAAACTTCAATGAAGATAGTGTGGACATGCAAGAGGTACGTTTAATGATGAAATTATAAATATTATGATTTGAATTTTGAAGTAAGATTTTGTTTAAACATTAGTATTTATCGGATGTGACCGGAGCTTTATCGGAACCTCACGAAAATAGCGGAGAAATTCAAGACGTGATAAGTCAACTATTTGAACATAATGTTGATCCCGTGAAGCAATCATTAATAGTCCCCGAATTTATTAATTCAACCTTTATTGAACCAACAACTCTTGTAGAACCAATAAATAAGAAATCAGACATTCGTGGAAATAAAAAACCATTTGTTATAAAAAAAATTATATAAAGCTTTAGATATAGCCTGTGTACCAATATTCATGCCTACCGAAGAAAAGTCTCTTAAAGCAGAACATTTAAATCAACATATAAAAATTATGAAAGTACTAAACTCCTCACATAATTTTATAAAATTTCACGGTATCTCTCAAATTGACGACACTTTTGTAATGATTAGCGAATGGGCTGAATTGGGCAGCCTAAAGGAAGCATATGACAATTACAGTATTAGCTGGAATATTAAGGTATGAACATCTTGCTTTCAGCAAAATAGAAACCCTCCTCCCCTCTTGTTTTTCACGTCTTGTATATGTAATTTGCAGATTCAAATAGCACTCGATATTTGTCGTGGAATATATTTTATGCATGAAAATAAAATTCTCCATCATAATTTACAATGTGACAATATTATGGTAATTAAATTTATTTTAATTATTTTTTTAAAAATATTTTTTATTATTAACTTTTAACTTGGAAATGAAATGATATTAGATGTCAGCATATTGTGAACCCAAAATAACAAATTTTGAATATTCATATTATATGGGTAGTAATCCCCTATCAATTCCAAATATGAACGATATTATAAACTGGATGGCTCCAGAAAAAATTGAAAGTTTCAATTTATATCAATATGATGCCAAATGTGAAATGTTTAGGTAATTACGAACTTTCTATTTTTTTCAAGAGTATCATCGATTTCATTAATACGATCTATTTATAATAATATACAGTTTTGGGATGTTGTTATGGGAGCTTGCCTATGAAAAAATTCCCTATCAAGATTGGGATGTGCATAAAATAAAACATCACGTTTTAAGTAATAATAGGGAAACCTTAAATATCGAATCGACAAGTAACAAACTTCAAAGAAATTATTTTCAAATTATTGAAAATGGTAAATGATTTGATACTTATTTTTATATTAAATATTTTCTGTAAAATCTTTATAAACTTTACAATCATTTCTATTTAGCTTGGCATCAAAGTCCAGAACATCGTTTAAATTTTTTCGATATTTTTAAACAACTGGATGAATTAGTTTCTAATTATTATCAAAATGGTCTTTCCAAGAACTTGATTCCAAAGTATAATTCGACCGATCCTATTGATGATGAGTTGGAAGAAAAAGCAAAAGGGTGGATTGAAGATGCCATTCAACAAAAATTTATCAAGTCAATAGAATGGACCGAATTTAGTCTTCATAAACCTATCGGAGCAGGAAATTTTGGATCAGTATATAAAGCATACTGGTCTAATATTCACAATTATGTGGTTTATAAAAAATTGATAGTTTCGTCAAATATTCAATATAAATTGTGGGAAGCATTTAAACACGAATTACAAATACAAAGCAGGGTGCATACCTGTGAAAATATCATTCGAGTTTTAGGCGTAAGCAAAGGTAATCATATATACAATATATATATATTATCATGAATATAACTTATTATAATTTACATAATAAGTTTTTTTTTTTCACGCATGTAGATAATGATGTGTATTCTATCGTTATGGAATATGCTGATGAAGGAGATTTAAAAATGTACCTTTCAAAGAATTTTAAAAATCTTGATTGGAGTAAGAAACTTAGATTGGCTTTGGATATCACAAACGGGTTACATTATTTGCATAAAGAAAATATTTTACATAGGGATCTTGTAAGTAATTTATTATTAAATTATCATAATATTTAATTGATTCCCTAATTGATTTCTTCAACTTGTAGTATGCTAAAAACATAGTAATACATCAAGGAAGAGCGAAGATCACAGATTTTGGCAATTCAAAAAGTGTGAACACTACAACCATCATACATAATGAATTATTTGGTAACATTCCTTATGTTGCTCCTGAAATTTTAAGAGCCAGTAAAACCAAGCATGATCCTTACACCAAATTTTCTGATGTATATAGTTTGGGAGTTTTACTATGGGAAATATCAAGTGGTAAATCTCCTTTTGAGAATCAAGATATTTGTACGATAATTACCGCAATATTATTGTTTGGGAGTAGAGAAGAAAAAGTACCAGATACCCCTGATGAATATTATAAATTGTATAATGAATGTTGGAATGACAAACCTGAAAAGAGACACACTATCGAATATGTTTATGAAGTATTAGAAAATCTATTAATAAATAATGAAGTTAATAAGGGTATGGATATTTAGAAGTTATATTCATTTTATAATGTTTATATTTTAATTTCACTAAATGTTTAACCTTTAATTAAGAAAACCTTTCATCATCAACTACTTTATGTTAGTGACTCATTACAATCATTCACATTTTGATATCTGCAAAAATCAAGTAATGTACTGTAGGATGATATGTCAAATTATTCGTTATGAATAAAGTAAATCGTGTATCATACCTATATTTACTAGAAATTAATTAATATTATTAATTATAATAACATTTGTTTTTTATAATCTTTCTTTTTCTTGTATCGTGTTCTTGAAATGGTCTTTTATTTACTTATTCACTAATTGAAATAATTATATAATATAAATTAATAAATTAGAATCAGTATGATGAAAGGATAAAATGTAATATACTGTTGTATTCGTTTATGTATTTATAAACAATTTTTTATTGTAAGCAAAAAGATTTTATTCAATAAAAATGAAGCAATTGTGACGCTAAATTTATTTATAATATCAATTAATTAGTGTTGCTTCAACGTCGGCGCTCTACACTTTCGCAATGTCAATAATTAATTAAAACTGCGCAAATACAAAATATAAAAATAAAACGGGATTTAAAATAAACGAAATTACAAAGTTAAAAATTTATAATTTTAAAAATGTGAAAGCGAAATCGCAAAGGAAGAAAGGAAGGTTTAAGGTGTATGTGTGCAAATGTAAGAAGGGTGACCGTGGTATGTTAAGTTGTTTAAGGATTTCAACTTATATAAAAATTAATTATATTGACTGTCTCTCTAAATAAATGAAAATTTTATTCTCAAAGCCTTATTCATCAAATTTTCCAATTAACAGAGATTCTTTACTTTTGTGTATGCGTATGTGCTTACATCAACTTTGCAAAATATATGATTACATTTTCATTGGACATTTTGTGTATCACAATTCCTAAAAAATCGACTAAAACTAAGACCTATTCATTTCAACATAAACTAAAATGCAGAAACTGATTTTTTGCAGCATCGTTATTAATACGTTATTGAGATTAACAAACAATCGTTATAAGATTTTATAAATGGCAACAAATTGTAAATTATTGAAATACACTTTTTATGCTAAATTATTTATGCCCTTCGGGAGCCAAATTAAAAAAACTATGCATGGCTATCAGGTAGAAATACACACTTCTTTAGGTGAAATCACCACTAGGATATTTTCACCTAGAGGAAATTAGCAAAGTATTTATTAATATAAAAAAATTATTTGATTTGGCATTCTAAGTATGATTACTTTATATTATTAACGAAGCGGAGAATGTGATATATCCATTGTGAAATTTAAGAATTAATCCATGGATTAATTCATCATTTGATTCGGTGGGAAATTAGCAAAAATACATTTTTACCCGGGCTTTGATCAAATGTCCCAGCCATAGACAAAATTAGGTTCTGAGAAGGACTTCCGCTGTAAGATTTCTCACGTCATCTTCTGTCTCAAGGATCTAGGGGCTCCGTTGGTTAAGGCTTAAATTCCTAGTATGTAAAACCGTGACTAGTTCGTTTATTGCAGGGTATGATGTTGTGGGACAAGCCATGATAGTATCGACCATTATCGCGAGATATCTAATTTTCTGTCTTAGGTAGTCCATTTCTTAGTCGAGTTGTCTATCCAAGGTACTAGATGTAAAAATATTTAGGAATTAAAGCTCTTTAAGAACGTCATCCGTAGGTATACAACTCTTGAGATGATGGACGGTTGGATATGAATTAATTCTACAAATATTGTCTGCTATCAAATAATTACAGCCACTTCCATTAAAGATTTGTTTCGGCCGGAAACTTTAAAGTTTACGTACTGGACGTCCATTTATCCATGATTCGACACAATATAAGCTATTAGAAGAAATTACGACAGATATGAATACGATGGTTTGCATATTTCTTCATTATAAGATTTATGCGAAAAACATTATTGTTTAAAGAATAAAAAAGGACACAAATATATTTATTGAATTTAATTAAGTTCTTTGTTTTTTTGAATTAAATAAAATGAATTTTGACTTACGAATTATATAATTTTTTAAAAAACTATAAATTTAGTCTTTAATCTATCGTGATTTCAGTGTATTTTGATCTTGTATAAAGAATTTTTTACATTTTTCAAACTTGTATTTGCATAAATGTTAATATTCGTTACACACTCTCAAATTGTAGCATACATGTATTGAAAATAACAAGCCTGAAGTTGTTTTATTAAATGTTTCAAATTAACTATTTGCTATACTAATTTACTATTTTTAGGTTCCAATAATGTCGGATAATCTTTCCGATGAACTAGAATGATTTGAATTTAAAACACCTCACGCCCAAAGACAGGAAATACTAATATTGCATTAATGTATGATTTAGTAAAAAACCCAAGTATTAGAAAAGAATCTCGTCAATGCTTTCTTCTTTGACTTAAATAACGTACTTAATCAAAGCTTTTAATACTTTAAGTAATAAAATTAAAAAAAATAATACCAATGTTAGATATATTCACATTATATTTAAAAACCTTTGGATCATTATATGCCTTGACATTAAGGTTGCAATGAGAATAACTAAAACTAATTGCTCTTCATTGTCTGGAATCTTTAACATTTCGTCACGCTGAACACGACACACATATCCATACAGTTTATCCATGTAGGCCTTATAATTGCTTTCGACATTGCTTTTGATTATGATCAAATGGAGGAACTTTTCTTGAGAGAAGTTGTCGATTTCATCTTTAGAATTTTAGAGAAATAGTCAAAATCATAAAATACGTATATTATAATACTAACACTCTCTAGTCCCGCTAATTTCGTCAAAATTATTCCAACCCCGATAAACGTTGAATCGTGGAAGTTCAGCAAGTCTCCGTCGGTATTTAATGGGAACTCTTTATTCCATTGTTTTTTTTGCATATTAACGGTCTGCCCGAGGACCTTATATATAAGTATTCAGAAAATTATAAATAATTCTCCTCTAATTCTTTAAATAACTTATGAACTAGACGTTCACCTATGTAACAAAGATCAGTACTAGATCAGCAAGGAAAAGACCCCTGTGCTTTAACATTGATTTTAAAAGCTTTGAATGAATGAAGAATTCCTTATAACCCCGCTATTCTTTCTCCTACTTATATCTGTTCACTGTAGCTTGATATCTTGGTTCTATTTCGTTTAAAGTAACTTGTGTAATTTTGTAAAAGAACAATAATTTCTGAAAATGTTTTAAGGAAATCAGATTTAGATATATAAGCGAAATTGATTGTATTAGTTCAACTTCAATTACAGGAGTTTAACGCATTTTTTTTTAAAGAATTGAATTACTTATTAAATGTATTAGGCCTGTTCACTTCTGATCGTTCGGATTTTTGGTCGGGTTTGAATAAAAAAAAGTAGCATTGTTTGATTATTTTTTTAACCGAAGCTATATTTCAATGTAAAAAACGCGTTAATTTTTTTTTGAGTTTTTATTAAAAAGAAAATTAATAAAAATGGCTTAGAACATGGTATAACATTCAAATAAACGTGGACCTCGAAATAACAATAACACGTGTTCAACATAGTAAACTTTAAAACAATTACCAAACGATATTTCCTTCAACAACAACAACCAAAAACTTCTTCACCTTCTTCAACAACAGGAGTTTCCTCAACAACAATTACAACAGTGGAAAGTTCTTCCCTCAACATTTTTCCTTTACAATACAATTCTCAAATATATGCTTTACCTCCTATTTTATCTGACTTAGAAAAAAAAATTCGATGAAATTTCTTACCGGTAAATATATAAATATTTATACCAACGGTTCCTAATCAAATGCCGTGGCTTATTTTACTGACCAATCAAATTTATACAATGACATTCTCATATTATAATATTTTGAATTTTCAATTAATAATAGCATTTAATTTATACATAGATATTATTTCAATTAATTATTTTTGAATGTAAATAGAAACATTTGAGAAAGTACAATTATGAAATATTGGTGTTTATCTAAAGAATTTGAAGCCAAAGATATTTCTTGAAGAGAAATTTGCGATTTTGAAGAATTATTATTATTGTTAATTATGTTATTTGATATAATTGAATTATTTTGTTTAGAATTGTCTGTAATATTAATCAATGTGTTTAAAGTATTAAGTCGTTGATGTTAATTAATTTTTTTATAAGCACGAACCCCTTGAACACTTTTATGACCAGTATGTTGCATGATAGCCTATTCTGAAACTTCTTGATCTTGTAAAATTTGAGTAGCAGTTTTATATCTAGAATGATTGAAAAGTAACTCAATAGGAATATCAATTTGAGTTTTATGACCAATCTTTTGCATAAATTTACTTAATCTATTTTTTCCAATGTGAGCTATTCTATACCAAATATATCAGTTTCTGACTAGAATTGATTAGGTTATAAATAAAAATTATCATCAGCTAATGATGGATGTTTAGAACAAATAGAATTGAATATCTAAACATGAACTGTTATTATTTTCAGGTATTGAAATAATGTAAGCCTCTTCTCTTTAAATTCCACATTGATTATTTTTGGATGTATAATGAAAAAATTGTAAACTATCAGACTTAAATTGGTCAATTTTTAAGTGATAATATTTACCTTGTACATAGTAAGTATTATTTATTGAAAACAATTTGATATAGAAGATTATTTATAGTAATTCTAAAATGCTATATAATTTGTTAGATTTGTTGAAGATTAATTTCAATTGAACCTAATGTTTTACCAAATCCTTATAAAAAGAAATATCTAGAAAATATCATCGAAAATGTCTTGAATCTATCCAAGTATATTCAGAAAATAACCATTAATTATTTTAAAAAATGATTAAGCTTGCTATTTGAGTTTATTCAAACCTCAAAAACATCTGAAATATGTACAGAAAGAAATTTAATCTTTTTTTCTAATACAGAATATATTTAAAATTTATATTAAAATTATGCATCTATTTTTCTAATACAGAAAATGTCTAGATTATGTATTGAAATTTATGTTTAGAATATATATATTTTTTTTAATACAAAAAATATTTAGACTGACTTTAAATCTAGTCCTTTTTAATTTTAGTTAGTATATATTTTTATTTTACATTTCATAAATAAATGATCTACAATTATATTATTCGTGTATACTGATAATCAAATTTTTTTTTTTTAATAAAAAAAACTTTTATTTTATTTAACATAATCTTTAAAAAAAATTATTTTTTAAACTTAAATACTTAAACTGTAA